GATCTAATTTCCTAACAATTGTACTTTTTTTCAAGCAAATTTATTTGGGTAGGGTTCGAACACATTAATCTTTCTTGTAACTTCTGAAGAAAAAAAAAAACGCTTGAGATTTTTTTTCATTCTTTTTTTTTTTTTTTTTTTACATTATTTACCCAGAGTAAAATTTAAAGAGGATCATTACAATTATACACAGAAACCATGGATTTTTATTCATATATAAGTTTCTCTATCTGACACCAGCTAAGTAAATAGTTTTGTTTTTTTTTTAAATGACGACTCTCGAAATCTTTTTTTTTTTTAAATATAAAATTTGATAAAACAAATCCAAGGACACATGTATTTTTGCTCGTATAGTCATAGAACAGCATAATAGCCTATAGTTATTTGATTTTCTTTAATGAGATAAAACATCTTGTATTATTGATGTACATGTAAGGTAAAGTATAACCTTTTGTTACTTAAACTTTAAAGCTTTTAGGCTGCGTGATTTTACTTCTACGTATTTGCCAAACAAGAATATTTATACCAAAACCAGTTTTTTTTTGTATAAAAAAAAAGAGACAGGGGGTCATTATTCTACGAGGTCATTTTTCTACAACCCACACGGAGAAAAATGACCCCCAGGCCATAATTTCTACGAAAAAGGGGGTCATTTTTCTACGTAGAATATTGACCAGGGGGCTAAATTTCTACGTAGAAAAATGACCCCCGGTCAATATTCTACGGGGGTCACTTTTCGTCGTTACACCGGAAGAAGTAGTGCCGTATTCCTAGGGCTCTTCCCGAAATCACATATTAGAAATCCAAAGTAACGGGTAATTTAGTTTCCGAGTTTATTAATAAAAGCATTTAATTTAATGATGGTCAAAATTTTAACATTCAAGAAATACATGCGGGGAACACAGACGGAAGTGGCCAGTAATGCGTCAGGCCTCCGAACTGCCACATACAATTCAGATACTTCTATATATACTGATAAAAGAGTTCTTTGAAAACAATTAGTAAATTGAGTGACAAAATGACATTTGTTGAATAAATTACAATCTGTGAAAAGTTTTGATAAGATGGACATGAAAGAAAGATAAATTAAATAATTACATGAATGTTTTTATAAGGTATTAGAAATTTAGAAATTAGTGACGGCGTTAACACTCTGTCCCTTTGTAGTTCTCAACAATTGTCCAGAGAGTGTCACTATGCAATTAAGTAAATAATTCGGTATTTCGTAATCCAACAATAAATTTCAATGAAAATAATTGACAAAAATTGTATTTAAGTTCAAAATAAAAGTTCAAAAGAAAATTTGTAAAAAGGGTCAATTCTGCACGGTGGTAGAAGAACTGAAGTATCATAATGTAAAATTCCTGATTATTTAATAAAACGATGTTAAATTCGGTTAATTTACCTGTGACTATACGAACCCGGTCAGGTATTGGTTAACCTCAACCTTCGGCCTTGGTCAACCAAAGTCAATAATTGTATAATATAAAGCACAAATATTTCTTCTGAGAAATTATGCCAAATATTCCAGACACTAAAATACTTTATTGCATACAGTTTTTTTTTCATCGAGATTATACAGAAATTCAAGAAAAGGTACAAGTCTTTCTTTTTACAATATTTTGTTAAACATTTTCGCGACCAAATTTCATATAAACATCATATTTGGGATTACCTACTGAGTGACATTTTGCAGAATATTTACGGTTCATTGCATTTAAAAAAAAAAAAAAAACAAATCGGATACATCAGTGTTAAATTGATAAGTTGAATTGATGCAAAGCATCAAATCGGCCGCAAAAATATATTGACAAATTGTTATATATCTATCGAAAGAAACGAATTCATTGATATTACATCGGACTGGGATAAAGGATAGGAATGCATCATCATCAAATTACAGACTGAATGAAAAACGCAACAATGTCTAAAATAATCGAATGCTGACAAAACTTCACTGACGTGCTGATACCCTGGATCTTCGTCACGAGATAAGTTTTGTGATAGATATGTATGTAAAGTGTCACTTCCATCTATAGTGTATTCAAAACAAAATTCAGTTCTTATTTCAATTTATTAATTATTTTAGGCACTGTAATTCATATCCGGAAACGCAATACGTTTTGATATTATAACTTACGCATGCCAATGTTGGAGAGTAGTTCATGAGACAACTTTTTTTAAAATCATTAAATTAATAAATATCCGACGAGATAGGAAAAAACAGATTGAAAAAATAATAACATTAAACAATTTAGACTTAATATTAAGCAATTTTTTAAAACTTTTATTCCTAACTTTATTGTATGTTATCAGTAAGGATTTATTCCATCGAAACAACGAAAAAATAACGACTCATTTCCCCATGTGCACTTTCTAACACGACCACACAAATAGATCGGCCGCTGCTGCGGCCGATAATAAGTGTACATGCAGTTAACTTTTTCCATTTGCCACAACGCAGGCGCGGATCCAGGAATTTTTTCCAGGGGGGGGGGGGGTTCTACCCAGTCCAAAAGAATTTCCAACCCAGAAATTTCTTGATTAACAAAAAAAACAAACCAAAAAAAAAGAAACCCACACGTAACCTCCGTTTCCCAAACATGCATGAAAAAGACCTATTTCATGGTGGTGATGGTGGGGTCCACGTTTCTAGGGGGGTTTAAAGTCAACTTTTATTTGTTTCAGTATATACTTTTAATAACTCTGCAAATTCCAGAGAGGGGTCCAGACCCCTCCAGCCCCCTCTAGATCCGCGCATGCAACGGGCCTCCATACCGGTAACCATGCAGTCAAAAATCATCATTTCTTCTACAAATTCGACAAACCTCTTCCAATCCGGGTTGAAAGTTATTACAAGCAACAATTTGTGTATACTTGTGTGAGAGAAAGTGAGATATAGTAATGCTTAAATACTACTGCAATCACTGGTTGCTATGTTAAAAATGTAACTTCCGTTTTAAAAAGTGTGTTCGTATTATTAAACGCATCGACAGAAAATTTAATAAAATTCATTACATGTAAGGATGTCAATTATTGTCCATTTTTATACCCACCATGACTTGCACTCTTAAACAGCAAGCATGTTGTTTGATAAAATCGAGGGTAACTATGGCTGAAAATATATCGGAATCTTACTATAATAGTGATATACCACTATTATAGCGGAATTTACGTTCCCCCAACCTGTTTATTGTCTATTTCAGGACTCACAGTAACTATAAAACCAAATAAAAAAATCTTTTACTCAGAGATTGGAGGAACGCCCATAGAAACGATCACCTGCAAATCTGACTGCCATGTTCCTTGGAATTGCACATACACATGGTATTATGTTGATGGAAATTTGAAACATTTTACAGATGGGGAGACCTTATTTAGAGATAAAACCATAGATCAAAACACAACTTTTCTATGTCATGTCAAATATGAAGAGTCTACCAGTATTAAATTTAACTACAGCTATCAAATAGAAGTCGTTGTGCAAGGTAATTCTATTATTCTAATTGATGCGGACCTTACTAATGATGTATCTAAAAGTTTATAATCAAGAGGAAAAAACTATGTTTACTATGAACTTTGATCGGGGGTATGGGAATCAGGATGATCCGGTATAGGTAATTGTAAAACATTATACATTTATTGACTGGGTTCGAGGGCAACATGCGTTTTGTCGGACCCAAGTATCAAACTGTTTGCCTGAGGCCGTTAGGCCAAAGTCGAAGAGTTTGGTTCGAGGGGTGAACAAAACGCATGTTGCTTGAGAACACAGTCAATAAATGTTTTGTTATGCTTTTTTCCTTGTGCTGGCTGCCATGATGTAAATTTCCTTTACCCGCAGTGCGGTTAATCTCGATCAATTCCGTTATTGTCAAACACCAACGAATGCAAAAAAAGATTTAGCCGATCCCGTCCACAGTGTGACGTATAAAGTCCAGCATCTCACTCTGCGGTCAAATATCGATTCCTTTTTATGACCGCTCAGAAAAACATTGGAAATGTTTGACTTTTTAAGTATAGATTTCTATAGGAACCACTTTTTAAAGGTATAACAATATTAAATATTAAAAAAAGCTATTTGAAAATAAGTTGATGAAACAAGAATATCAACAGTCTCGTTTACAGTTAATATTTGGCAAATTCTATGATCGAAACAATGACCTTGTCAGCAAATACAATCTATGTTTTTAGAGGTCCGTTTTTGTTCTGCTCCCGATTTGAATTGTTTGGATGGACTTATGAGCTAGATTACTATTCGAAGCTTCACTTTTCATTCGCAACTTTTCATTAATCAATTCATACACTTTCGTTAAGTTAAATGCCTTTTCAAAGCTTGTTTTTGCTTTTTGAGCCACTGAAGGAAAACGTGAAAAACATAAGATGAGTGATTGCATTATTAATTGCTCAGATAAATTACAAGGAATGAACAAAAGCACATATAATATATAATTAACTAAAAATATATACATGTAAAAGTGGGATGAGGTTAGATGATGAATAATTTTAACTTAAATACATGTATATATGGTGTGTAATCTACTTATTGCATAAGTTGTGTAACAAGAAGGTGGCGTACACAAAAAGGCCCCACCTCCATCTTATTAAATGGAACAAACAAAACTCAAAATTTTCAAAACAATTGTAAATAAAATAAAATGTACAGTGAAATAGAGGAAACCGGGTTACATGGATATTAAGTGCATTATACGAGGGGTGATCAAAAAGTTCGCGAACTAATTGAATTACTTCCTTAAAAGAAATAAAATGAGGTTTCAGTGTTTATTATTTTTTAAGGTAGTCCTCTCCGATTTTAATGCACATCTGCCATTGTTCTGCCCATGCGCGAATCATGTGATCCAGGCAGTCACGTGACATGCTCCGTAGCAGTCTGTTCAGAGAAGCTAAAAGATTTTTCTGAGTCTTATATTTCTTACCATGCAAGTTATTTTTTACAACAAGAACAGTCCATCAGTCAGAAATGGCCAAATCTCGGCAATAGGATGGGTGGATAAGGATATGCCTTCCCACAATTGGTATGTTGACCCATCACAACCCGAGTCCTCTGTCTTGGGAGCGTCGTTTTTCCAATGTGGATAAAGTATGGGCGCCTTCTTTTCATCATATCTCATATGTTTAAAGTCTAAAGTAAACGATATTTTAGGATTTTAATAATTATATTATTGTTAAGATATTCAACCATTTTTCTAATTGTAACTTGACGATGTTTCATAACAAATTGCTCAACTAAGGACACATCTTTTCCCCGGCTGGGCAACAGAACAAACATAATTTTTAACCATCTCCCTGTCTTTACTTAAACAATCAATGTAATTAATGATTGAACTTCTGGTAAGTCTTTTGTCTTCATAAACCTTGTACAAATTATCATATTCTACTGCAAAGGAATTTCCAAGATGTACGTTAAACTTTACAGCCGTTCGTTGCTCAAGTACGACTGAGTCAACCATTTTTTGTCACAAGTGATCTACATATTGACGTCATTTTCACATTGTGATGTCACAAACACGGAGCAAAACATTATTTAACATCTGCTATATATAGAACATGTGTATGACTATATGTGTGCCAAATTTCACTCTGATCTGAATTGTTGTTTTGTAAATATGGAGATAGTTCGCGAACTTTTTGATCACCCCTCGTATATATATATATATATATATATATATATATATATATATATATATATATATATATATATATATATATATATATATATATATATATATATATATATATCTCAAAGCTGAATTTCTCAATTAAAAACAACTTTTCACTATCCGAATTACACATGGGAGGAGGAAGGGAGGTGGAGATTAAATTAAATACTAACCTAGTGTTTCCACAGGATTTCAATATTGGGAATATGATCTTTATCTAAGTTAACTCAATTTAAATACAACATGCAAATGATAATTGAAAAAAGAAATCAAATTGACTCAGCAGACATTGTACAATGGATAAAGCTTGCATATAAAACATTTTGTGAGACATAAAATTTTATTTAGGAAGATTAAACATTTGATCCCAAACGCAAATGCTGATTCTGAAATATTTTAAGAGAAGCAAAATTTGGTCATCATTTTTCTGAATTTAATAATTATAATAATTTAAGCATTTAAAAATGAACATACAAAAATTTATACAAGTACTCAGCACTGTTCTTTTAACCAAAGCATTCATACTTGATTGTATTTAAATAAGTATTACAATGAAGTCTTATCTGTTAAATACATGATCTGAAGAACCTCCGACTCAAGACAGTGAGGCTGATATAAGCTCGTTTGAGAACTCTGAATCAACTTCCATCAAAAGAGAATGTAAGTATAACTAAATGGTTCAAAAAGATTAATTACTTTATCTGCATACTTTGAAAGAAAAATAAAATCAAAAGGGGCATTGATTTAATAAAGTTTATTGTTTTGACTTTTGTCATTAACTCTGCATTCCTGTATCATATGATATTAAGCAAAATTGTGAAAAAGGTCAAGCAAGGGAGAAAAAAACATCCATCTGACATCAATATAAAAAAATCTTCATGTTCATTGGCAGATCATATTTCAAAGAAAAAAAAACTTGTCTCATTATAACCTAGATGGACCCAAGAATGTGATTCTTCATTATAAAAGTGACCGTGAAGATTTGTGGGAGGGCAAAGAAAACTTAACCCTCACCTGCAGGGCAGACTGTAATCCGCCATGTGATAAATATATAATTTACCACAATGGACAAATCCTCTACTACACAAACGATCGGGTACACTTTACAAAAGATCGTAAAAACTCGGGAAAATACAGATGTGCGGCATATGATGTTAAGTCTGAAGAATTCGTTAACTCTACTGATGTAGATATTGATATCAAATGTAAGTAACGCTGTTGCTTAGGTTACTTGTATTCAACATAAACTTATCAATACCAAGCTAACGAATTTATAGTCTATATGCACTATGAGCAAATCACCACGATAGTATATATTTAAATAAATGATATAATTACCTGATATGAGTCAAAATTTTTAAAAAAATTCTTATCAAACATCTCCATTATGAAAAGGCCAGACTCTGTCTTTGATTTCTGCTTTTTTCCTCGCGATTTCTACGAAAGCCCAGAAGGCTCATTCGAGATTCGAGTTTCGAAATACGAGATTCGAAATTCGAGTTTCGAGATTCAAGATCCAAACTAACCAATCAAAAGGCGGATTCAATATTTGATAACTCCCCTTTATTAAGTTTTTACTATCAAGAAATCAATGAATATATTGATAACAAATGGGTCATTTGCTTAAATAATAATGCAAGAAAAAAAGTTATATGTATCAAAACAAAATAGAAATGAATTTTGGATAACGTTTTGAAAAATGTATATAAAATATTATTTTCCTCATTAAACAAAACAATAGATACATATATAGAATATTATATGGTCTTATCGTTGAGTAGCGAATTTAGTATGCAGATAAATTATTTAATATGCACATTGATATGAAATAAATCCTAGAGGGTCATCGTCTTTACACTGCACAGATATTTTATTAAGGATACATTTCATTACATTTAAGGGTGAATCTGTGCAGTTAGAGTGATCGACTATTTGATATGGAATTAAATAGATTCCAGTTTGCATTGTATATATAATTTTTAATTAATTCAAGTATTCAAAGCCTTAATTGAAAACTTAATTTTTTATGTATTTCTCCTATTGGGAAATTGAAAACTTAATTTTTATGTATTTCTCCTATTGGGAAACACTCACAGTGGTGTATATTCCCTTCGGGTAATGTGTACGCTAATGTGAATCACAGATTTCACCTAAAGGGCATCATTGCCGAATTGCGGATAGGTAAGGAGGGAGTCGCCCCTCTCAATAGAAGGGGGGGGGGGGCGGATGACCACTTTCTGCGATCTTGGAGACATCTTTCACTGTCATTTTTCCAGTGTATATAATTATAAATCATTTAAACATATTTTTATGATACAGAAATTAAAATCTTCATGACCACTTTTAATAAAATTGAGAAAATTTAAAATCCTTACACAGTGCTTGGAAATTATGGAAACTTCTTTACTGAATAATCTAAATATAATTTTAAAATGTTTTATGTTTGACTCCCTACTAACACAAACATATTTACTACCCGGTAATTTCTTTTCCCTGTCCGAGCCGTAGACTCCTGTTGATGTCATGTTTAATAGTCTGATATCGACTTCAAGGTAACATTTCAATTTTAGATTTAACCAGCTATAAAAATCAAAAGTTTTGTCTACTGTAAAAATTGGATAGGCATAAAAGTGTGGATTGCTAAAAATACTTCTATTGCATCTGATGAAAAAATATATTCTAGTAACTGGTAAATAAATAAGATTTATGGTCAACTTTCCCCTATTTTTCAACCAAGTACATGCATGTATAAATGAATATTTTTTGACATCAAGAAAATGATGTGTAGGCTAGTGCCTTTTTGCCTATATGGAATATACACCATTGGGAAAGCCTTTATCACGACTACGATGTCTTTCTTGAAAGATTTCCTGTGTACACTAAAAAGGCATACATGAACTAAGTACTTTTAATACGTACTCCTTTAGGCTATACGATTTTTTCAAAGTCCTAAAGGTGTATAGAGGGCCCATTGTTTTGTTAAAATAATTATTTTTTTATCATTATTAAATACTTTTATATCTTTTTTTCTCTATGGCCATTACATCATGTATTGAAACTTGTGTATTGATTAGTTATGTATCTTGCGAGACCCGAGCGGTTTCCTTATAAATAATTATCGAATGTATAATTATTTTGCCCATGCATCGCAAGATTGACACTGAATGTTGATACATGTACATGTAACCGAACATATGTTTACCGTTGTAATAAAATAAACAACATAGCCATAGGACCCAGGGCACGTCTCCCCCCCCCCCCCTACACACACATCCCCCTTATATTTTTTACCGATATAATTTACTATAGAAAACATAGCAACTTTATGCTTGTGTCCTTTCAAAAATAACGTCTAATAACGTTGTATGCCAACATGTTTGGTGAATCAATAAATTGAATTGAATTGAACTGAATTGAATAACCGTGATAACCCCCTGTTGTTGTTTTTTATGGGGGGGGGGGGGGGCTTTACAGTGAATTTTTATTTTATTTCCTGCGGGCCTGAACAAAGAGAAATCATTATCTTTATTAAGCATGTATATTTTAGCCATCCGTACTTAAGGGACTGTCTCTTGGTCACTGATCACTTTCTAACACCTTGTTACAAACTATATCCACTTTAAAACTCGTATTGGTCACTGGTCACTTTCTAATACCTTGTCACAAACTATATCCACTTTGAGACCCGTATTGCTAATTATTATCAATCGCTAGTCACTTGTTTAATTGCACACTTATAATTCTCACCAACTACAATACCCCCCCCCCCCCCCACCTTTGCTCTTTGAATCCGATTAACAGTATTTATTATTATGACATCAAACCTGTAAACAAAGTAGATAATACGATATAGATATTCTTGATATAAATCTATTATAATATTTAAGAAGTTATAATATAAATCTAAGTATATTTTGCACACCAAAAACCCAATATTTTTTTCTAATTTTGTTCTGATATATATAACACTCTTTCTTGCATTGTAATATTATCAAATGACCTCTTCGGTTTGAATACATTCAACGATTTCTTGAAGGTCAAAACTTAGCAAAGGGGAGTAATTGAATCTTAAACCGCCTTTTGATTGGTTAGTTTGGATCTTGAATCTCGAAACTCGAATTTCGAATCTCGAATTTCGAATCTCGTATTTCGAAACTCGAATCTCGAATGAGCCTTCTGGGCTTTCGTAGATTTCTCTTTATTACTTGTCTTTTTTTTTCTTTTACAATTTTGACGTATTCCACAAAAATCACTGCCTATAATTTTTTTCAATAAAAGTGTATTTTCTTTGAGTTATTTGATTAACTTCGCATTTTCATGTCATATTTAATCCCAAATAAAAAAAAACGAAACAAAACAAAAACAAAAAACAAACAAACAAACAAAAACAAAAACGACAAATTGACAATGTACATATATATTGTCATATAATTTAAACTATAATGTAGCAAAAGTGAGACATTCTAATTTTTTTTATCCTTTTCAACGAAAATATCTGATTTGTATCTTTTATTACTCAGATGGACCAACCAATGTGAGCATTCACTACACAAGTAACCGTGAAGATTTGTGGGAAGGAAAAGAAAACGTTACCCTCACCTGCAGGGCAGATTGTAATCCACGATGTGATAAATATCGAATTTACTACAATGGACAAGTCCTCTCCAACACAAGAATGACATACATTGAAAAAGATCGAAAAAACTCGGGGAATTACAGTTGTGCTGCATACGATGTTAAGTCGGGAGGATACGTCAGCTCTGCTGAAGTAGATATTGATATCAAATGTAAGTAACGCTGTTGCTTAGGTTACTTACTTGAAAGTTATATTTAACATACTCCCATCACTATGATTCTGACGAATGCTTTATGAATACATCATGAATATCATTTATTCATAAATATTTTACATTTCCAATGTCTTTGTCCGAGATAAAATTTCAAATAGTAAAAATACTTTATTTCTACATAAATTTACTGGTTCATCGATAGGCGTGGTGGGAAAAAAAATCACATGCGGGGCGGGACAAATAGAGACAGAAGCGGGGCTTGTAGCACGTGAATTTGCAGAATCAAGAGCATGTAAATATAAGGAATAACTGTAAGATTTTTTGGTTTCATGAAGATGATCAATCGATTGGCTTGCGTGATAATTTTATGCATAAACGTCTTCGGCGTTTATGCAAATTATCACGCAAGCCAATCGATTGATCACATCATGAAACCAAAAAATTAGACAGTTATTCCTTAAATATATATGCATACTAAGGAAATCATCATAGTATACGAAGGTTGTCCCAAAAAGTCGTAGACAGGGAAAATGATTTTGTCTTTCTTTGCTAAATCAAATTTCTTTTCTTTTCATAGTAAAAAGCAACATTATATGATAATGAATTTCAAGTTTCATGATCATAACGCATTTAATAAGAAAATAATGTAAAAATGAAGAAAGCACATAAGTGGACATCGGCGCACGAAAGCAAACGTAATTTTATAAGTCTCTTATAACGACATGATCATTTTTAAGTATACTGTCCCGTGTGTTTAACAGTCGTCTCTTAAGCTTCTCGTTATTTTTATGCCCCCGTATCGAAGATTCGGGGTATATAGTTTTTGCCCTGTCCGTCCGTCTGTCTGTCTGTTTGTCAGCAAAAACTTTAACATTGGCCATAACTTTTGATTGGTTGAAGCTATGGCTTTCATATTTCACATGTGTATTCCTTGTGACAAGACCTTTCTTTGGGTACCACCATATTTGACCTTTTGACCTTGGAGTTTGACCCAGTTTTGCAAAATTTTTCCCAACTTTAACCTTGCCCATAACTTTTGAACAATTGGTGCTAGGGCTTTCATATTTCACATGTGTATTCCTTGTGACTAGACCTTCCTTTGGATATCAACAACTTTGACCCTTTGACCTTGACCTTGGAGTTTGACCTACTTTTGAAAAACTTTATCATTAGCTATAACTTTTGAACGGCTGGTGCTAGGGCTTTCATACTTCACATATGTAATTCTTGTGAAAAGACCTTCCTTTGATCCTTTGACCTTGACCTTGGAGTTTGACCTACTTTTGAAAAACTTTATCATTAGCTATAACTTTTGAACGGCTGGTGCTAGGGCTTTCATACTTCACATATGTAATCCTTGTGACAAGACCTTCCTTTGGATACCAACAACTTTGACCCTTTGACCTTGACCTACTTTTGAAAAACTTTAACATTGGCCATAACTTTTGAACTGCTGGTGCTAGGGCTTTCATACTTCACCTGTATATTTCTTGTGAGAAGGCCTTTCCTTAGGCATCATTAATTTTGATCATTTGACCTTGACCTTGATGTTTGACTTACTTTTGAAAAACTTTAACCTTTTCCTTATCTATTCAACGGTTGCTGCTAGGGCTTTCATATTTCACAGGTATATTCCTCGAGACAAGACCTTACTTTGGGTACCAACATATTTGATTTGCTTTTGAGAAAGTTTAACCTTTGCTGTAAGTTGCCATACGGGGGCATCAGTGTTTTACAAACACATGTCATCTTGTTTCAAGTGGAAAACCACTGTTGACTGCGGGACTCAGTAAAACTCACCAAATGTCCTTAGTTTTTTTTAAATAACATTCAAATCTCAGACCTCAGGCCTTACATTGTACTTGTAGGTAGCCAGGGAATACACAAAGTTTGACGTCGATCGTCCATAACGTTCCTCACCGTCTGAATTTAACAAACGGTACTCTACTTCTTATAGACGTAACTATTTTCGGTACGGAGGTAAAAACTATCCTAGAATCTTTAATACCATTTTGAAAAAACTTCTTTACTAGAGTTCTAGTGTGTTATGTCACTTCTATATCATTTTTTCCATCTTTCAAGTGGACAGACCACAATTTTATTGCATCCCTATGCGCCGCTAAGGCGTTTGACGACGTCATTTGCAGCAAACTCAACTCCAACAACATTCTGAAAATAACGAAACCAATGCTATTGATATGAAAATTTGACAAAATACTACGATTTAGTTTCTAATTTCATTGATATAAATTTGAGTTCGATGTTTTACATATTACCAGAGAAACAAATACCAGAAAAGAATTTTTAAATAAATTTTTACAATTTGACAAGATCCACATTCTAGATACACATGTCTTATTATGAGGGGTAGATTCATTGAATGCTGCAGAAAATGAACGTCTCTTTTCTTTTGTTCAAACATTAAAATTTTATTAAACATTCTGGTAGTTTTCCCTGTTAGCATTGATTAATGTATCAGTATATGCATTTGTACAAAATTAAGTGTATCTATATATTAGCAAAATGCATCGATTTGTAAACTTTTGCAAATATTGTATATTTTAAAACTTCATGTTTAACTGTGACGATTTAAATGTGTAATTTACATGTAGGGAGAGGGCGTAATAAGTTTTTAGAACTTGTGCCCAATCCCATTGTATTTATAAATTACAATAAAATATGTTCAAACCAAACAAATGCAATTGGAATAGTTACATGCGTAAATTATTCCGGAATTTGTTCTTGCGCCGATAGACCATATCGACATTCTTACATAATATTATTACTATTAAAGATATAAAATTTAAAATCCACTATTTTAAGGAACATTGAATAAATTATGGCTGTGCAAAATTTGGCTGAATGTTTACAAAGTTATAAACATTGTCTACGTTTTTTTGGACAACCAAATACCATTGTGCGACATATGACGTCAAGTTGAATGGATACGTCAACTCTACTAATGTAGCTATTAAAATTAAATGTAAGTAAGCTGTTGTTAAGGTTAGTTACTTGAAAGTTGTATACAAGATAAACCTACCATTATGTTTATAGGGAGTGCGTTCAAAATGTAAACGGTCTTTAAGTATTATGAACAAATATTCAGTATTTTTACAAAATCGTTGTTGTAATCTGAATTGAGCGAACGATTGTAAAAACTTCTTTTCGTCGTCAGTCCGCCTGTCTTCTTGTTTTGTTCCTTTAATCTTTCTTGTCATTCAATTTTTAAAACAACAATTGTACATTCATTTTTATCCTATATTGATTCAGAACAGACCAACAATTTAGAGTTTTGAGGAAAGTGGCGTTTTTGTCCTTTATGAAGTGTCAAATATTGTATACCAAAATGTTTGTTGTAAAAATCCAAGTCAAATTAATTAGGTTTTTTAATGTTTGAATTTAAATTTGTCAAAATCGAGTTCTTTTAGAGTCATTGAGGTTTGATGAAGTGATATACACCTATTCGGAACACCTCGCAATTTTTTAATCATATGAAAATTTCCGATATGTTCCAAATATTCATAACGCAGCTCTTTTAAAGTTACATATAAGGAGGTGCGGCCTAAGAAACATAATTTTGCTTGTAGATTTATGTGTTCTAGAGACCATCCATAAATTAAAGGCAATGCCCATCTATTGAATTTATTCATATATTTCATCTATGTTCAGAGTAACCAATATTTCCATTGCGCAACTTATAAATGCCAAAAAATAGAATGCTAACTGGTTATTTTTGTTTCGGTATTATATAAATATTGCATGTACATGTACTTGAGTATAACATTGAAAATATTCACCCCTCGAAAACCATGTCAACCTCGGCTGCGCCTCGGTTGACAATGGTTTTCTTGGGGGTGAAAATTTTCAATGTTACACTCAACTAAATGCAATATTTATGATATTATACTGAATGTTTTATACAAATACATATAAAAGTAAACCTTGCGCGCATAAATTCTGCGCAGCCACTATTTTTTGGAATATCACCAGTCGTCAAGCAATGTTGACTGTTGCTACGCTGGAGGGCGTGGCTTCCTCATTCAGCGGGTAATAGTGTTTTTGAACAAATGTTTCTCGACGAATCAGATTCAACTAATTTACATGAAAGTATACTATTATAAAATAGCTAATTTAAAAGTAGATCATTGAGGGAGTCAGCAAGATTCCAGTTCCCCTCGAACAAACCTATTACCCTCGGCTTCGCCTCAGAGGGGAACTGGAATCGTGCTGACTCCCTCAATGATATACTTTAACTGTATACTAATTAAGTGTGATTATTTTCTTCATGTTTTGTCCTTCATAACATTGAAATTTTTCCATTTAACTGTCCACCTAGAGCAATCCATTGTCTCATGAAGATAACATAATTTTATTAACAATCCGAGAATACCTGATCCAAGACTCATGTATATTATTCCAACATGGGTTCCTAGAAGGCTATATATACTCGTGTATATATATATATATATATATATATATATATATATATATATATATATATATATATATATATATATATATATATATATAAACAATATTTCTTATATATCCACAATTTTTTTTTTGTAATACTATACAGTATTTACTTTGATAGGCCAGACTATATGTATATGTATAGGTATGTGCGCCTACTCACCTTTCTTTTGAAATCCCATTTGAATCTTTGGCTGTTCTGGATAGTTACAATGTAATTACCAAATGACTTAGGTAAAGGAATAGAGTTTAATATTAACAAGCATTCTGAGAGTATTGCATTTGCAATACTAGTCCCCTACCGGCAAGTGTAATCTGGTTCCCGTTAAGAATTGAAAATGCCATATTTCCGTCAAAAATTAATGAAGCGGGACGAAATGCAAACTTGATCTATAACTAATCAAGGTAAAGCCACATACCAAAAATCAGCTCAATACCTACAAGCGTTTAGAAGAAAATTGCGGAAAACCCGTAAAAATTGAAAAGGTCGTAATTCGGTCAAAAATCAATGAAGCGGAACGAAATGCAAACTTGATCTGTAACTCATCAAGATACACTCACATACCAAAAATCAGCTCAATATCTACAACCGTTTAGGAAAAAAGTGCGGAAAACCAAGTGGGACAGACTGACAGACAGACAGAGGGACAGACAGACAGACGGACAGACAGACAGACAGACAGACGGACGGACAGACTCAGAGGAAACCTATAGTCCCCCCCGGTTTCACCGGTTGGGGACTAATAAATCTAGCTGCTCCTTCTGTACATAAATTTTATTTAAAAAAAAAATGAAATCTTAACATCAAATTTTGATATCTAAGTCTGAAAATAGACACTCTATTTGATAGTTTTCGGATTTTATTAAACATCTTTGTTCAAACTCCCCAGGTGCCAAGTAGAATCACAAAAGGGACACTTTTTTTTTTACACAGAAATGTATGGAGTTTTGCAAGAACAACAAGAATACAATTTGTAAACTTGACATCAAGCCTTGATGAGCTGTAATTAAAATTTTCAAAATCATAATATCATAGACTTAATACGACTAAAGAATATATTTCTTCATATTTAATTATTTTTGTCATAAAATGAATCATCATAGAATTTTTTTTCTCAATGATCTTTAAATACTTGTTTTTATCTTTTTCAGATAGGGAAGTTTACCTATTATCCAAAGTAAAGGAAATGTCATTAAGAGTAAACAAATTCCTACCATCAAATGTAGTTTGCACTATTAAGTGCAACTTCAAGTGTGACTCTGACATTGAAGTTACGAAGAATTCGACACAATACACGACGATTAAATCAAATGAGAGTATATTTAGCGACAGAAAAGCTATTTCATCAGATAGTGGAGTTTATAGGTGTACATCAGGAAATTCCCAGTCTGCATATGACTTTAAGTTGAACATTTTATGTGAGTACAGCTCAAATGAATAATCACGCTCCGAATTATACACGTTCATATAATGCTGTTCAAATACATTGACAGAATCTTATTGTCAAAATACAAGTACAGACATTGAATACTGTCGATATTTTGTTTAACATAAATTTAATTAAGCATATTAGTGGGAAAATTCAATTCGATTTTATGAACATTATCTTTTATTGAAACTGATGTAAGTAAATTGTTGAATGCCACTCTTAAACGTTCATGAGCTTCATTAAATTTACAACCAATTAATGGAAATGATAAGACTGTACGTATTTCTTTATTTAATTGATTTAATAGCTTTCTTACTATTTATTCTAATTACAAGACGGCCCTAGCAATGTCAGCGTTACAAAATCTGGGAAAAAAGTGAAGTCAGAGATTGTTCTAACGGAGCGTTCTTCAGAACTCTATTGGTTAACATGTTGGTCTGAATGCAATCCACGCTGTAATGTAACATGGTATAAGAATGGCAAACTTTTAAACGATGAGAAACATCAAATCATGGTTATTAGCATTAACAGAAATCAATCTGGGACTTACAGATGTGAGGCTGATGGAATTGAAGGAAAACGATCCTCTGATGAAGTAAAAATTATAGTCTATTGTAAGTATTCCTTTTATTAATTGTCAACCCTTCTCAGAATTCATATGAAAGAAATTGCAATGGAATAATGCTTTTGGAGCCCTCTGTTGGATTGATTGATTGTTGTATTACGTAACCGTTCGAGAATTTTTCACTCATATAGAGACGTCACCATAATTATACCGGTGAAGGACCTGAAATTTAGACGTTAATTTACCGGCACTCAGGGCCAATGAACAAGATCTTATTTTCGTTCTATTACCGCTATGTATATGTAGTAGACCATATATATACATTTATTTTATTGTGGCAAATTTTACAAACATTTTTGTATTAGGAGAAGACTAAGTTTTTGAACTTGTGTCTAAGTTCTGATTATTTCATCACAATTTGTAATATACCGATCAGTTGTACAAGGCAATATATCCCTTGATTATGGTAACAATTAATGCAGATTTTTTTGTAATGTACATGTATCTCATTTTCAGGCAGGTTTCATGCCTTTCTTATTTTATTTATTTATTTATTTATTTTTTTTTTTGATTTGCCTATTGATATAAATTTAAATATATATAATGTTTTGATCAAATATAGACATAATATTACTATCGCCTTTTAAGTTTTCTTGTTCATTTGCAAAGCGCTTACATGAAAACAAAATGATACGATTAACCGATTTATCGGTCGGAACGTCTTGCGGTTGACCGATTTGCAATACTGTATTCGATTGGCATCCCTAGATGCTACATTTTTTTTTTATCGACTCAGCCAGTTAGGTCAGTCGTGGCCGGATTTGAACGCACTACCTTCCGATCACGGAGGGAGCGCTCTACGACTGAGCTACCGGTCATGGTACATTCTAGATACTTGAAATTCTATACGGTACATTCTATTTGAAATTCTATACGGTACATTCTATTTGAAATTCTATTCTATTCGGTACATTCTATTTGAACCTACGACCTTCCGATTCTGGATCGAACGCTCTACCGACTGAGCTACAGTGACAGTACATTCTTTTTGAAATTCAAAATCAAGAGTGTATGTTGTAGCATGTACAAATGCAATGTTTCCTTTTTCAATTTAGGATGATAAATAGGGAAACATTTAAAAACATACGAACTGAGAATGAAAAACAAGATGTGTTTGTGAAACACTGATTCCCCCGTATGACAGCTTATGGGGAAGGTTAAAGTTTCCCAAATGCAAGTCAAACTCCAGGTCAAGAGATCAAAAATGTTGGTACCCAAAGAAAGGTCTTGTCTCGAGGAATATACCTGTGAAATTTGAAAGCCCTAGCTCCAACTGTTCAAAATTTATGGCGAAGGTAAAAGTTTATAAAAGTAAGTAAAACGTTAAGGTCAAGGTCAAATGGGGCCCCAAGGAAAGGTCTTGAAATGTGAAAGCCTTAGAACCAAACGTTCACATGTTATGACCAAGGTTAAAGTTTTTTAAAACTAAGTCAAACTCCAAGGTCAATGCCGAAATTGTTGGTATCCAAAGGAAAATCTTGTCCCAAGGAATGCACATGTGAAGTATGAAAGCCGTAGCAACAAATGTTTAAAAGTATGACCCAGATTAAAGTTTTTAAAAAGTAGGTCAAACTCCAAGATCAAGATCAAAGGGTCAAAGTGGTTGGTATCCAAAGGAAGGTCTTGACACAAGGATTACATATGTGGTGTATGAAAGCCCTAGCACCAACCCTTCCAAAGCTATGGCCAAGGTTAAAGTTTTCAAAAGTAGGTCAAACTCCTAGGTCAAGGTCAAAGGGTCAAAGTAGTTAGTATCCAAAGAAAGGACTTGTCACAAGGAATAGACATTTAAATATGAAAGCCCTAGCACCAACCGTTCAAAAGTTATGGCGAAGGTTATTAAAGTTTTTCAAAAGTAGGTCAAACTCCAAGGACAAGGAAAAAAGGTCAATATTGTTGGTATCCAAAGGAAGGTCTTATTACAAGGAATGCACATGTGAAGTTTGAAACTCCAAGCACCAACTGTTCAAAAGTTATGACCAAGGTTAAAGGCTCATAAAATTTTGCAAAATGGGTCAAACTCCAAGGTCAAGGTCAAAAAGTCAAATATGATGGTACCCAAAGAAAGGTCTTGTCACAAGGATTGATTGATTGTATGTTGTTTTATGTCCCATTCGAGAATTTTTCATTAATATAGAGACGACACCTGACCATATACCGGTGAAGGGCTTTAAATTTCGACCTTTACTCGACACTCAGGGCAATTGAGCAGTGTGGGATCTTGAACGTGCCAACGCTGCCGTGACACGGGGCGTCGGTCTTTAAGGTCTCATCCGAAGGACCCGCTTGTCACATGGAATACACATTTGAAATATGAAAGTCATAGCTCCAACCAATCAAAATTTATGGGCAAGGTTAAAGTTTTTGCGGACAAACAGAGGGACGGACAGCGCACAAACTATATACCCCCGAATCTTCGATACGGGGGCATAAACTGGAATTTTTTTTTAATGCTTTATTTTTGAAAAAGTTTTCATATACATAAGATCAAAAAACACAGACATATATACACATTACATGGCCGTAGGAACCGGGGGGGGGGGGGGGGCACGTGCCCCCCAATAATTTTGCCGATATATAGAATACTATAGAAAACGTAGCTACTATATGCTTGTGCCCCCTCAATAATAACGTCTGATGACATTTTTTTTTTTGCTTTTTTTTTTTTGCTTGTCAAGGAATTTTGGTAGTTAATAGTGCCCCCCAACTGAAAATGTGTGTTTGTGCCCCCTCAAAGCGAAATTGCTTCCTACGGGCCTGCACAAACACACCCACACACATTCACACCCACAAACTCACTGTGCACCTTTTCCAAAATACCAACTGTTCGATATTACAGCTATAGTAATACTAATTAGAATTTCTTATATTAACAAATCAAATCAAACATTGCCCATTTACTATACATTTTAGTTTTACAGTGAAAGTTTCTATCACAATATTTTTTCAATTTTTCTATAATACTTAAAAATGTTAATTGCTTCTGTAAACTTAGGTATTGAACATTGAGATCTTGAGTGAAACAAGTACTTTTTTCCTACCAAGATAAGAAAATTTTCTAAATAACTTCCATCAATATTACCAAGCATCACCTTTTGTTTTGATATTACATAATCATTTTCAATAGCACGATTCTAATTTTCAAAATCTCTCCAAAACCTGGTTACATGTACACAATCATAAAAAAGATGAATCAATGTTTCTGGATCTGTTTTACAGAAAGAACAAACATTATATTCAGCAACTTTTATCTTGTGAAGAAAAGAATTTGTGGCTAGGAAGCCGATAAGAATTTTATATTGAAAGTAAATTATTTTGGTGTCCTTTGTGCATATGGATGCATTCCGAAGGGAAAAATGGAAATTTTAACTGCTTTCATTTACACACATGGTCAAGTATGAATTTTCATGTTTCTGATGTGTCTGAGTTGAACAACTTTTCTTGTACCAATACATATTTTAGTTTTTGTGTCATTATGCTTTATTTAATTATTAACGTTCAAGTTTTATATAAATTAATCTCTTATAGGAAAAAAACAAAACAAAACATGAAAACAAAAAATAATTATATGTACTCTTGTATTGAAGACCCACCCCAAACTGTTGAAGTAAAACCAAGTAACGACACTTTCTATTCGAGACGCAATGGAACACCTATTACTGATATTACATGTAAAGCGGACTGTTTACCACAGTGTAGCTATGTATGGTATGAACTAAAAAGAACATGGAACTACTTCAATTACCGTGCATTTTTTTTTACCAGAGGCACTACGTTATTTGCATATAGGAATTTCACGAAGAATGATTCTCGATTTCAATGTGCTGCAAGTAATTCAATCGGAACGAAGCACAGTACATGGATAGTTGTCGAAGTAAAGAGTAAGTCACTCTATCTATCTATCTATCTATCTATCTATCTATCTATCTATGTATCCTAAAAAAAAATTCAATGATCCACATTCATCAGTACGATTAATAAAATACACTGCCAAAAATTAAAGTGATTTCATGTGAAGACCCTTTCCCTCTCAACTCTGTCATACGTCCAAATTGACTTTCGGACTCAAATTATCATATGCATATGGGAATATCAAAAGAAAAGAAACCTATAATAGGAGGGTTTTAAATCTTATATGATGTAAAAAAAAAACAACAACACATCATTGTATTACAAAATTTTGCCTGAGGGTAAATGCCAGGTACCCATATTGAAATTGCAATAGATAAGCTCAGTATTTACACTTTTTTACAGAATAATTTTCTCAATGTTTACAAAAAAAAAAAATAACTTGAGTGTATAGAGGGTCATTCAATCGTAATGAATGCAAGTAGTTCATCCACATCAACTAGGCATATAGTCATCACTACCTTTTTAGCTCACCTGAGCCGAAGGCTCAAGTGAGCTTTTCTGATCACATTTTGTCTGTAGTTCGTCTGTCTGTCTGTCCGTCTGTCTGTCCGTCTGTAAACTTTTCACATTTTCGACTTCTTCTCAAGAACCACTGGGCCAATTTCAACCAAACTTGCCACAAAGTATCCTTAAGTAAAGGGGATTCAAGTTTGTTCAAATGAAGCGCCACGCCTTCTTCCAAGGGGAGATAATTAAGAATTCGTGAAAAATTAATGGCATCATTAAAAAATCTTCTTCTCAAGAACCACTGTGCTTGAAAACATGAAACTTATGTGGAAGCATCCTCAGGTAGTGTAGATTCAAGTTTGTTCAAATCATGACCCCCGGGGGTCGGGTGGGGCCGCAATGGACGATCAAAGTTTTACACAGGAAATATACAGGAAAAATCTTTAAAAATCTTCTTCTCAAGAACAGCAAAGCCATAATTGGTCATATTTATATGGTAGCATCCTCAGATAGTGTACATTCAAGTTTCTTCAAATCATGACCCCCGGGGGTCGGATGGGGCCGCAATGGGCGATCAAAGTTTTTACATAGGAAATATACAGGAAAAATCTTTAAAAATCCTCTTCTCAAGAACAGCAAAGCCATAATTGGTCATATTTATATGGTAGCATCCTCAGATAGTGTAGATTCAAGTTTGTTCAAATCATGACCCCCGGGGGTCGGGTGGGGCCACAATGGGCGATCAAAGTTTTTACATAGGAATATATAGGAAAAATCTTCAAAAATCTTCTTCTCAAGAACAGCAAAGCCGTAATTGGTCATATTTACATGGAGGCATCCTCATGTAGTGTAGATTCAAGTTTGTACAAGTCATGACCCCCGGGGGTCGGGTGGGGCCACAATGGGCGATCAAAGTTTTACATAGGAACACATAGTAAAAATCTTTAAAAATCTTCTTCTCAAGAACAGCAAAGCCATAATTGGTCATATTTACATGGAAGCATCCTCATGTAGTGTAGATTCAAGTTTGTACAAATCATGACCCCGGGGGTCGGGTGGGGCCACAATGGGCGATCAAAGTTTTGCATAGGAATATATAGGAAAAATCTTTAAAAATCTTCTTCTCAAGAACAACAAAGCCATCATTGGTCATATTTATATGGTAGCATCCTCAGGTAGTGTAGATTCAAGTTTGTTCAACTCATGACCCCCGTCAGGGTCGGGTGGGACCACAATGGGCGATCAAAGTTTTACATAGGAATATATAGGAAAAATCTTTAAAAATCTTCTTCTCAAGAACAGCAAAGCCATGATTGGTCATATTTACATGGAAGCATCTTCAGATAGTGTACATTCAAATTTGTTCAACTCATGACCCCCGGGGGTCGGGTGGGGCCACAATGGGCGATGAAAGTTTTACATAGGAACACATAGTAAAAATCTTCTTCTCAAGAACAGCAAAGCCATGATTGGTCATATTTATATGGTAGCATCCTCAGATAGTGTACATTCAAATTTGTTCAAATCATGACCCCCGGGGGTCGGGTGGGGCCACAATGGGCGATCAAAGTTTTACATAGGAACACATAGTAAAAATTCTAAAAAAAAAAAAAAAAAAAAAAAAAAAAAAAAAAAAAAAAATTGTTAAGAATAGCAAAGCCATGATTGGTCATATTTATATGGTAGCCTCCTCAGATAGTCTACATACAAATTTGTTCGAATCATGACCCCCCGGGGGTCGGGTGGGACCACAATGGGCGATCAAAGTTTTACATTGGAACACATAGTAAAAATCTTTAAACAAAACAATTTGTTAAGAATAGCAAAGCCATGATTGGTCATACTTATATGGAAGCATTCTTAGATAGTGTACATTCAAGTTTGTTCAAACATGACCCCTGGGGGTCGGGTGGGGCCACAATGGGTGATCAAAGTTTTACATAGGAATACATAGGTTAAATCTTTAAAAATCTTCTACTCAAGAACAGCAAAGCCATGATTGGTCATATTTAAATGGAAGCATCCTCAGATAATGTAGATTCAAATTTGTTCAATTCATGACATCCCCCCCCCCCCCTCAACCACTTTTATATTTAAACTTTTCAACCTTTCAAGATTGAAGTGATTTCTGCTTTTTCCTAGCCATAGTGCTCAGGTGAGCGATGTGGCCCCTGGGCCTCTTGTTTTATTCACCTGAATTAATTCAGTGTTAAATTTCTAACGTATTTCTCAAGTTTCAAATTCTATAAGATAGTTATCATTTTATAAAAACTTTTATACAAAGGTGTTAAAAAAGTATAATTTTCATTTGAACGCACTAGTATCTAAACACAAACACACATACATGTACAGTCAAAGTGTCAGATGGAATAAGAATTTTTCACCTGATCAAGCTGCGCAGGGTTGAAGTATTCTAATTAATTTACGAAACAGTTGTATTGGCTATCAATACATATCAAGTGTAGCAGATTTAAATGTAAGAAGAATATTTTAGTTAGATTATGGTTTTCCTGCATAAATATGTGTCTTTTTTTCATTCTTTTATATTATACATCATATTATTCATAAACAGATGGGCCTGCGGACGTTAGAATCTATGCAATAGGACTAACAAGAGAAAATCATCCGTTCAAACTGCGGTGCTCAGCAGATTGTTACCATGGATGTTTATCCTATACATGGTTTTACAAGAATGAAGAGATTCATAATGGACAATATCTAAATTTCAATAATCCCTCAAGAGAAAATAATGGAGAATATACTTGCAAAGTTAATGACTACTTTGGAACAGCTTCTAACAAGCATGGTTTGAACCTCCAATGTAAGTACATCTACATGTGTACAAATTTCATAAACAAATATTTTTTGTACTAAATTCAAGTATTTATTGACATTAACTTCTTAAAAAAAACTAAATGTTCGCGAAATTTTGGACTTCGTCGTAAAATCATAAATTGCTGTTACAAATGTATTTTCTATTTTTTGTATGATGAGTCATGTTGCTCTTTAATTTCATTTAAGTTGGTCCATCTAATGTAAGAATCCAGTATAATACCAGTGACGGAAGTTTAAAAGAAGACTATACTGGTTGGATACATATAACTTGTCAAGCAGACTGCAACCCAGCGTGTTCTTACAAGTTTTACCGAAATGGTCGGCAAACAACATGGTACCATCAGAGAAAAAATCATATACGAAGGTTGAAAAGGGAAAGGAATTCAGGGCAGTACAGTTGCTCCGCAGAAAACCCGATAAATGGATGCATAAATTCCAGTAACTTTGTAGATATAGTGATACATTGTAAGTAATAATTCACAATACTTCAATGTTTTAATGTTTTTATGTTAATATGATTTACTATATAATTCCACGAATTTTTATAAAAATATTTCGACCAGTTTGACCAATTCATATTATCATTATTATTATGCATAAATATACACATTCAATTACGAAATTTGCTAATTAATGACGAATAAATAACAGTTATAGCCACAATTTGTCAAAATAAGAAGTAAGTTTCATTTTATGTATTTTTATGCCCCCGTATCGAAGATTTTTGCCCTGTCCGTCCGTCTGTCTGAGTGTCTGTCCGCAAAAACTTTAACATTGCATGTAACTTTTGATTGGTTGAACTATGGCTTTCATATTTCACATGTGTATTCCTTGTGACAAGTCCTTTTTTTTGGGTACCATCATATTTGACCTTGACCTTGGAGTTTGACCCGGTTTTACAAAATTTTACCCAACTTTAACCTTTGCCATAACTTTTGAACGGTTGGTGCTTGGGCTTTCATACTTCATATGTGTAATCCTTGTGACAAGACCTTACTTTGGATACCAACAACTTTGACCTTTTGACCTTGGAGTTTGACCTACTTTTGAAAAACTATAACCTTGGACATATCTTTTGAACGGTTGGTGCTAGGGCTTTCATATTTCAGATGTGTATTTCTTGTTAAAAGGCTTTTCCTTGGGCACCATTAATTTTGACCATTTGACCTTGACCTTGATGTTTAACTTACTTTTGAAAACCTTTTCTATGTCTTTTAAATGGTTGCTACTAGGGCTTTCATATTTCACAGATATATTCCTCGGTAAAAGACCTTACTTTGGGTACCAGCATATTTGATTTGCATTTGAGAAAGTTTAACCTTCGCTATAAGTTGCCATATGGGGGCATCAGTGTTTCACAAACACATCTTGTTTAAATTCGAAATTGTGATGCCTTTATCTTTTCGATGGAATTTTGCGAGCCAGTAACATTATCCCTTATTGGTTAGCTTGATGCATTACTATATTTTTTCAGTCCCTCTTCGTCCGTAAACTTTTGAACATTTTCAATTTTTTTTTTCTGAAGCGGCATAATAAAACTATATTTTGACGGAAGTTTCGAATAATCTACAGTAAAGACTTGTATTTATGAATCATTTACATTTGTCTTCCAGATAAACCAAGACTCTCAAGGTTTGGAATAATTCATAAATATATCATTGCTCCTGGCTCCGTATACCTCAATTTTAGCATAGACAGTTTTCCACCATCAAATGTGGAAGTTGTTCACAGAGGAAAGATACTAAAATACGATACTAACGTGACAGGTTCCAAATCGTACCAAATAGAAGTCACATCTTGTCTAGATGAAGGAGACTACATAGTAAATGCTAAAAATGACGCTGGATCTGCTGATTACCTGAACAGAGTTACAGTTAAATGTAAGTATCTTTTATTCACCTTCACAAAGTTGTGAAGTTCCTTTGGCCAAACATACGAGGGTTGATCCAAACTTTCTAAAATTTTATTGTAACGCGATTAAAGCAAACAAAAGACATATCTATAAAAAAGAGCCACTATGCAAACTGGAAAATTTCACCACATTCCAATTAAGCTTTCTTAAAATGGACAGCTGTAAAATACGGAAGAGACTTTGACGTAACGTCAAGTTAGGTTTGTCACGACACTTTCTAGGAGCATCTCACCCTCACGTTTAAATCGAAATTATACGGAACATTGCATTCTTTTCTCCATTTCTGCCTTCGAGGAAAGCCTGAGTACCCATCTCGCATCCACTTTCTTCATATTATGATCATTTATCAAAATACGCTCTTTCATTCCATATAATGTTCAGTAGCAATGTCAAGCACAGTGCATCGGCGGTCCATGTCCATAAACGCTCTCAATTTATCTACGAGGAAAGAACGACCTTCCAAAAGGCTGCTAGACCATTCCTCCTCCTCCTCCTCAGTTCTATTTCCCTTTAAATTTCTTACAACACTGGAAACCAGTTGCTTAATGTACTTTTTTTCTGCCTGCATCATTAATATATGCGTCTGAGTCAGAGTGTATCCGAGATTTTCACAAAACTTATTAACTAATCGAATTTCGATGTTGTGTAACGATGTCATGATGATCAACAAATCATCAATAAAAAACTAAATATCCAGTAAGATCGATAAAACTTTCACACAAGGTTTATAAAAGTTCAAGCAATCGTAATTACGACATCATTTTTGTTTTATATAATATATATTTAGAGCATATTTTTTCCAAGTGAGTATCAAGAATTGAAATGATAATGAACAAATGTCTCCCCTGCATTTTCAAACGTCCGTTTCTATGGCAACTGCCAAAGTGTTACTATCATGAATTTTTAAAATATTTTTTATAAAGAAAATTCAACAAGCGTATATATTTTTACCTGTAATTTCAATCACTTCCATTAAAAAAAAATAAGATCTAAAGAAATTCCACGCACTTTTTGATCAACCCTCGTATATGCAGGGTAACATTGATTTTCAATCGTTTTTTAAGATCAAGTAGGTAACTACGATTAAAAAAATGAAGAACAAGCTATGGAGGAGAAAGTTACAAGTTTTACTAATAGTATAATAGACACAAAGCTCTGAATAGACAAATGTTAAGGTTCATATATGTGCTTATTTATCTAATCAGAACGCACCTTTCATATTCACCATTTTAGGGTAAAGTAAAGCTTCAAATAACAGACTGAAAATGAATATTGATGATAAATTGAGTGTAGTGACAGCTTTAATAAGAACTAATCAAATGTCTGCATGGTATGAGCAGAGTTAAGTGATAGTTTTGGCATGGCGCAATTTAACTAAGTATTTCAATACTTATGAGGGCACATTTTACGAACCGCAGTGTCTATGCATGCCGTTGGCATTTGATGTGAGGTGTAAAAAAAATTCAAGACGAAATATATACATTTGTGCATGGTATCTTACTTTTATTTAAAACATTGCTATGACGTCATGCCTTTGTTCTTGCAATCTAGAAATTTACCTGTAGCCGTCCGATAATAATAATTACCAGTCCAATAGTATATTATCGGACGGCAGTGATAACAAAATCAGACAGTAGTTATAAAACAACAACTAGAGTGAAATCAAGGTTTAATATGTCCAGAAACCAAAAAAAAAGTTAGGGGGAAAAATTCAGGGAAAGTGAACGCGATGAAATTAAGTTGTTAAAAATAGCAAATCCAAGAAGAAGAAACTGGAGTTTTGACCTTCCTCAAAAGTAACACTTTCCATTCGTTTTTTGCAAGGCGTTTTCGATACAGCACTGTGAATAAGCCAATTTAAATCCATTTCTGATAAAGAACCAGTCTGCGAATCTCTTCATTTAACGAGGTTTGTTCGCCAATGACCGCACTTTTAAAACACAAGATTTTCATTATATCATCCAATCAAAATTTTAGATAAAAATCCGCATTTTTACTTTAAATGCATTTTGAAGATATCATCCAACACTGTATTTGTATCAATGTCAAACGCACTTAATAAAAAATATTCCGAATCATAAAAAAAAAAATCCTTCATCACCTGACCACTGTCCATAGTTCCTGCTAAGCCAAACGACTGCCATTGAATGAATGAATGAAACAAAAGAGTTCACTCACTGATTTTACTGTCTAAAGAAAAAAAACTTTCTCTTTTCTTTTGTCTACTTATTAGATGGTTTCAGGTAGAAAACTATAGATGCCTGAACTCCTATTGTGTAATTATCGGACTCCTACAGGTAACTTTTGGACATCTAAATAGCAATGATTTAAGTAAGATATATGCCTCATACAATTCTATATGTAAAATTATCAGACTGTTTTCGGCCCTAACGGGCCTCAAACAGTCTGATAATTTTACATATAGAACAGTATTCGGCATATATTTCACAGTGACTTTTCGTCTGTGAAGTTTGGGGAAATTAGCCTGGTAGGATAGCTACTCGCTTTTTCTACTGTAATGCTAAATTGGCAAAGAGAAACAATTCCGATTAAAGTTGAACGATGTAGAGTCAGCAGATAGAAAGTGTATTTTTTTAAAAGTTGTTACACAAAAAATCGTAATAAACAGGTACAAGTAATTATCGAATAAACAATGTCAGATATGTAAATAACTTTTGAAACAACCTGTAGCGAAACCCGCTAAGAGAAGGTACGATTACTAAAACAACTAATAAAGATCGATCGGTTACGTGAAATCAGTCATGCAGTCATGCATAGCGCTTACCAAAGTTTTTACAGTTACAAAAGTTACAAAAGTTAAAAATCAAAAGTAGACAATAAAATCAGAAAACTTACAAACATTTAACTCCAAAGACAATGTTTACAAAACCTCGGGAAAATTTAGTTACCTTCTCTGACTAGAGAGTTTCGAACAGGGAACATAACTCATGAGCGGTAAAATTAAATTACCAAAAATATACAAAAATAGAAAAATTCCAAAAACGCTATTTCGTGAATAATTCAATAAAAAAATGATTGCTAATAATGTAATTATATAATTCTAAACATTACTTGAACATTAGATGAAACAAGCAATTTGAAATTAATAAAAAAAAATTTCACTAGACAGATATTTGAAAATGAAGTGTAAGTCAAATGAACAAAGTAATTTATCCTAATTCCGTATCAAGAATACTTTATAGGAAATCATTAAAATATTAATTAAAAATAACTATAATGAAATTAAATCTAATCTTTAACTTTCAAATAAAATAACACAAGCTTACCTAAATTGGCAAAGAGAAACAATTCCGATTAAACAGTTAAAGTTGAACGATGTTTATTGTAGAGTCAGCAGATAGAAAGTGAATTTGCTAAATTCACAATCTATCCGGACTCTACTTCGGAATTGTACTCTTGACCAATCAGGAAGCTTGTTACAAAAATTATAACAGGTAAGTCGGCGATTTCGTTTGATAGGTTTGACACTGATTACTTACACTATCAAAGAGCCGAAAGGTGATGAAGTCAATTAGCTAAATTTCCGTTTTGAGTTTTTAACAATAGGAAGATTAGGTGAAGCCGAAACAAAATAAACAAGATTCTAAATCGTACAATTAATTTAATACCTGTGTCATAGCAAAGTGTCAAGCCGGTCTCGCCAAGAATTTGCCAACAAAAAGGCCAAAATAAAAAAGAATTTTACAGTTTATTTAGTAGATAAAATAATTGTTTCGCAATCTGTCATGAGTAAACTAATTTCCGAAAGGTGACAGATTGCTCAAATTCCGCATTTAATGGATTCAAGAAAGCGTATATTTTTTGTGATACAGAAAAATAAAAATTGAAATTATTTTAAGAAAACTTGATGAAATTAAACAAAATTGAAATTAAGAAAAAGGAAATTATAAGCAAATTTAAAATGTCAAATTGTAATGAATTAAAATTCATATGATATAAACTTATAGTTAGTTTTAAATTCTGTGAATTCTAAAACTTTAATGTAACATATATCCATTACATAAACATACAGAGAGCAAATATCTTCATACCTGTATGAAGTTTTCGTCGGTCATAGGTCATTACGTGACCTAATCACACAGCGCAGTAATATCTACATAAAAAGACTTAATCCACTTAGCAATATAGCATGTTTTTCATGCATAAAAATGTACAAAATACCCAAGTAAAATAATAATCATTTTATTTACAATGTAAACGAGTAATTAATACAGTTCTCGATCGATTTTACATAGAGAATAGAAAATTACGTGTTATAAATTTCATGTCTAAGCTGCATAGTCTCAACGTCTACCCTTATTTTTCTTGTAGACCTCTGAATGCTATATTTTTTTTTCATTAAACTTTACTCACAATAAATTTGAAAATCTGTTGAAAAATATCAATGTAATGCAATCACGCCACAAACAGCTGACAAACACTGCACTTCGGAAGTTCGGTAGGCACACCTCCATCATCGAGATCGTTGTCTTAACAATGTAAGCTGTCGCCTGTGTCTCCGTGTCAACATCATAATAAATATGCCTTATTGAAATCGTAGATTTTATGTTTCTGATCAAATTTTAAACTTGATTCCAAGTTAACTGGTCCGGACAAGTGTCTCTATTCATCCCTTTCCGACCGAAATTCCCCGAACTTTTTATTATCAAACATCGGACGTGTTTCTTGTGTTTTTTTAACATCGAATATGGGTTCTCACGAATACAAAAATTCCCAGACACCAATATGCTCACTATAATTGATCACAAGTAGCCTTTCACAGAATATTCCCTTCAAAACATAAGTCTTTGCAGGATGAATTTGAAGCGTAACCGCTTTTCAAGCCGATTTACACCTTGCGTAATTTGTCAAAATCTACGACGAACATGCAGTTAGTGCAATATTTATATTCGATTGTCCGTATCAAATGTATATATAAGTAATAAATAACAAATTTAAAAACTTCACTGGGAAATGAAGTGGGTCGGTACGTCACAGGATTTGATCACGTGACCGACCCACTTCATTTCCCAGAGAAGTTTTTAATCTTGTTATTTATTTCTTAAATAACTAATTTAAAACTATTCCAATAAGGTTTTCTTTTGAGCATAGAAACATGTCTTCCTAATCAATATGCAAAAACCTTTCCACCGAAAATGCAATGATATTTAGAACTTTAAATAAATGTCAAATTATGTTAACTGCAAAGTTTGAATATACGATTTACTATTTTTTCAGTTCGATTGTCAAATTTTATGTATGAGATCAAAACAAATAAATATTTGCCGTGATCTTGAACACAATTTTCAACTTGAATTAGATACTTGTGTAAAAATTTATTATGCACTCGATTCGTCCATGTTGTTTGTCCTATATCGAAATTATTATCATCATAATATGAGATATACTTTAAAAACATGCATATAATTCGAACTTGGTGAATATAGTGCTCTTCGGGTAACTAAATCATCGTATTGATACTACATTCAGAATTTTATCTCATGGATAAAAGAATATGGGATAGACTTTTTTTTTCGATTTTCTTAATTTTCTCTGTAATAGATTAATTTTACTTACAGCTTTTGAGTAAGAAGGTAAAAAAAGAAACTCCATTTAGGGCACAGAAACAATTAATATATAACCAGAGAGGTTTTAATGACCTGGACACAAAATCATTTCTCCTGCCTCTGATAAAAATCTTGAAATTTCATTGGTCGAGAAGAATACTTTATTAAACCATATTATGATGCCTACCGACATTATATTGTTAATGTGCCCCCTCCACGTGACCTACTCACCACACATCAAATCAATATGCCCCCTCCATGTGCCATACTGTCGAGAACATATTCAATATGTTCAATATGTTGATTTCATTAAGAAATAATATATCATTTTTAGAGTTTCATTGGGGCATGGCATGTCATATCCCAATGAAAATCTAACAAATGATATTTTATTTCTTATATTTATATTTTTATTCGTGTTACAAGAAAAATATTCACTATTTAGACTTTGTTATGGAAATGCAACATTATATACATGTACGACGTCATGTCTCGTGCGGTTTGCTTTCCATACGCAAAAGTCTGATCACATGACCAACTTCATTCATTGAAAATTGAAAATCAATTTTTAAAATTTGTATTGTTATAATTATAAGGAAAGACATTGCAAATGTAAATATTAGAACATGCAAGGAGCCAAATAACTGACGTCAAATAAGCATCAAACGACGTTACAATGCACACAATTGTTATGGAACGGTTTGCTTAACTCAGAGAAAATGAACTTTATCAAAAAATCTTCGACAGGATAAATTCGTTATGTAGACACTTAGAGGGGTAATATATATGGGGTCCATGGGCGAGGCGTAAGCCCAATATGCATTTTTTAAGGACCCCATATATTTCCGTATTACCCTTCTAAGTGTCTACATAACTTTTTAAAAATAATAATGTACAAGGCCAATGGATTAAAATTGCGTATCTTCATACATTTTGTTTTATCTCATCAGGCTCTCCTATGATACTTACGTATTCAAATGTCTCAAACAAAGGATTCAAAATAGGTGATCCAATGAACTTGATGACAACATTTATAGCAAATCCAGCTGCAGATGTATCATGGAGCTTTACTTCCTACAAATCAAGAAATGTGTCGCAAAAAGTTGAGAAAAACCTGATACACAATGAAGAGAAGGTGACAAGTATTATTGTCGATAAACTACATGTAGACAATTTCGGAATCTATCAACTCACATTGGTAAATGATATTGGAAATAAAACAATATCATTTAGCATCAGAGGTGTGTGTACTTTATCAATTAGAATATGTACTTATCATCAAATTATTATAAAATATACTGCAAGTAAATCACAAACATATTACTGACTAGGAAGGTGGTCAAATTTTGCTTTTCTTACTAATTATCCCCTTCCAAAAATTTGAATGCGTTTCTTTATCTGCTTCTGTTTTAAGTATGAAAATCGGCAATATGTTAATATTTGTATTGATATGTATGTCGAGAAGGCTATAAACCTTTCTCTTCGAATAAATAGGCCCACCACACTCTCCAACTGAACTCTCCTTGGACTGTCTAAGTACTGCATTTTTGGAATGGAAACCTGGATTTGACGGGGGAATGGATCAAAGTTTTCTTGTCGAATACACAACCAATATCTCCTCACCATGGCTCCCTCAACCACTGCTCTCTATAACGTCAAAGGATAACGACCGATTGTCTACTTATGTAACTTTAATGAACCCAAATGCCCGTTATTTTTTCCGCGTTGTTTCAGAAAACGTTTTTGGAAAAGTTATTTCGAATACGATTGTCAATTGCACTGTTCAAGGTAGGTCTAAACTACAGCCGAGACAATTTTTATTTAAATAAAGCAAATATTTCCTTCATGCTCATAAACATAGACACTAGAGACTGGTATAAATCATAACGAATCGGAATTACTGTATTTGATATTAATATGATTTAAAACCATCTTCTGTCAACATTTTATAACAAATTCCATTAAAACACAGCTGTCGGAAATGAAAACAGTTTCATAAGCCATCAAGCTATTGCTGGCATCAGTGGAGGGACGATTCTGCTTTTGATGGCTATTATAGTCCTTGTCCTTTTCGGTGTAAACAGATATAAAATTCACAACAGGAAAGGTACGTACTTTGATCGCTTAAGTGATACATCATAAAATATAACAATATTAAAGCTCAAGTAAAAAACATATATAAAGAAATGTTTAATTGTGAAGGAAACTGCACATATTTCTTTTTAATTAATAAAAAATCTATTCAATCGAGGAATATGTATGTAGATGCTATGATAATGATTTAACAAACCGAGAGTTTTCATCTTTTTTAATAGGTCACAAGGCAAGGTAAGTTTGTGCTAAAACACGTAAAAATTATTTATTGGTAACGTGTATCCTTTACATCGAATTTTTAAAATTGTAGATATCTTAAAGTTTTAACAATATATTACTTTTAAAAATAATTACTTAATTAAGTTGTATGAATATTTGACAAGTATAACGTGTATTTCGGTCTCAGGACACAAAACGCTGCTCAAGAAGAAGGTACATAATTCCTGCAATGGCATGGTTATTTCCCTTTACCTCTTGTCACACTGCAGGTGTATTGCTTTTTGCATATATTACTCTATGCTTCTTTATAGTATCTTCCCCTCAGAACTACATGTATTTACTGATTTAATAACTCAATGTATTATACTCTTTGCATTGATAATATTTATGAAGTTATATTTTCTAGTGAATCAGTTTAAAAATATATACAGAAAATATGCACTACCAATTTACGCAGGAAATTAAATGGAGAACATTTCTGATTTTACTAGATAGATCTTTTCATTTATGAATATTTAAAATTATATATTCATTTATAATATCAGTTTTGCTGTTGAAGACAAAGGACTTTTGCATGTATCATAATTTCACAAGACTGACAAGAAAATTACTTCTAACAGCCATATTTGTTTTTTGGAATTTATATATTTTTCTCCCCATAATTTTGATACGAAGAAAATTTCAATATATTTTCAAACAAAGATAAAAAAAAAAGTTTTCTTAATCACACTGCAAATGGATTTTAAACAGGTTTCTCATTCAGATTTTTGTTCCTAGCGTGACCATGCTTTACTTTTTTTTGTGAAACTTCTTTGTAAGTTTCTTTTCATTATTTAGATATGAATTAAGAATGTCAGATACCACCTTACCAGTACCAACTTCTTGCAGCTGCATGGCTTGATACTTTAAAAATAAATTAACTGTTACATTAATATAAAATACTTTTTAAACATGTTAAAGTTCTTAGTAGGAGAGGATAATATATGATATTAAATACAACATAAAAGTATTACAATATTATGAATCTTACTCATCATTGAGATAATCTATGGTCGTTGTTGAAATGTGTGCACTTTTCGTGTTTGTTTTTTTTCATTTATTGTGGATTGGAAAACGTTTACAGATTGCGGGATGGGCATGATTGAGAATACTTTATATATCAGTGGCGACAACTTAAAAGCTACTACTATATCGTCCTCAGACCATCCACAGAATAATACGGTTAACACAGAAAGCGGAAATGACGTTTACTCAGTTGTAAAAAAAACTGAGAAAATTGAACCTGATATCCCCGTGTATGCCGAAGTCTGTAAATCCCGACCAGTAAAGAGTGAGTACTGACGCAATAACAAGCCTATATCCAGATAAATGATTATAAAATATGCTGTGCCAATTTAAGCATGAAAAAGTCTGAATTCTTCATAGTGAAAGGTTCCCCTACTTTCCTACATAAATGTTTTCTCACAAGTTTGAAATTTCCTTCTAAAATGTATCTGCAAATCGATTTCTTTCAACTGAAATATATGAACAGGTTGATGGTTCTGAAAATTAAGTTTAAAAGGATCAACTTTAACCCACATGTTTCCTCTAGCTTAGCATTTATAGGTTCATCAAGATATAACAGGTGATTCTGAATTAATTTGGTGGCATTAATTAGAATCTTTAAGTAGTGTAATAATATTAAGAACTCCACTAGTAGTCTGTTCATAATGTATTGAAAATAATTAATAGAGAAATGAATATACAATGTATTTTTGTTCATTATTCTAACAGATAAACCAGCAATAAAGAAAAAACCAAGCAAGAAGACTAAAAATATAAAGGGCAAAGTAAGCTTTGACTCCATCGTCTCTCTATTCAATTTATAGATTATATTTAAATAAAAAGTATTTTATGCAATTTTACTTTGACAAGCTTTGTTAGAGGGGAATTTCAAAATAAGATTCATGAATCTCGGAGCAATTCAAATTTTTAGAACGGAATATCTTTGCCATAGTTTCTGAATATCCTTATTTAGATATCCAAACTTTCTTCTATTGCAGACCGTAAACAAAGATGGACTGGTCTACGCAGATATCGATTTGAAGGGCACGACTTCAAACGGAAAATCCGTCATTCATGGATCGGACAACAAGACATTGTATGTTGACATTGATTTTAACCAGCATGCCGACCCACTTCCGGAGTGTGACGTGGAGGACACTAAATGCACAAATCAAAACGAAAAGAAATCACAACTCGAATAAAGCTGCACCAGATAGTGCCACATTACAAACTGAAAGTTTATAAACTTGTAAATTCATCTTTTGGTTAATGTTTGATGTAAAGTGCTACAGTTGGCAACTAAAGTCGACATAAACACAGATGTAAATAGTGTCAGCTTGATAGTGTTAAGTATTTTAGTTTACCTAAACGGATTTTGGGAGTTTATGTAATAACGTCGGTCTCGGCGTCCAATGTTAAAAATTTAGAACAGATTTCTTTGCAAGCTCCTCTATGTCTTCTATTTATCAGTGATGTTTTTTGTATGTTTCATTGTATTAGGTTTCACACGCTGCCTTTTCAGGGAAAAAATGAAAAGATTTATGTTTTGAAGCAGGTTTAAAGTGTTTTAAAGCAGGTCTCATTTCCAAGTAACTATAAGCCCCATCTAAGGATCCATACTTCCAGGTACTTCCAGGTACGGCGTAACCGAGAAACATAAATTAAGGCCTACCTGAACCAAACTTGCATTGGTAACGCATCAAGGGATGCGCACCGCCAGAGGTTTTTAGGTTTTGAGCAGGTACATTCCTGCGTAAATTCAAGCCCTATGCCTGTACCAAACCAAACTTGATGCATCTAGGGATGCACACTTGCTTCTGATGTTTGATTTGACCTCCATTTTTATAGATGATTGATTGTTGTAAGACCTGGTCTCCAGAGACTACATCTAGACATTGTCAATGAGGAACTCCAGCATCTTTTATCATCTTCAGAGTGCGTGTATGTAGAATCAGAGTGACGAGTAATTGATTTATTGCGATTCTGATACTTTGTTATTGGACTTTAGTTGCTGCAAACTTATGTACGAAAGTCGAAATAAATTATTTTCTTGACAAAAAAAATAAATGTGTTTTGAGACAAATTTCTGCAAAATATAATGCCATTATACATGTAGTCTATTTTGATTGCAAAAAGGAAAAGGACAACTTCTAAAAATATGACTAAAAATTTTCAAGAAAGGTGTACTAATATATTCGGAAATAACTATATATTCTTCAGCATACAATTATGCTCTGTTTTCTCCTCAGAGTGTTTGGCAGTGCACAGGATACTAGTAATATCAGGGCCCAATGGTTATACATGTTCATAACAAGGAATGGGAGATTTAAGGGGATGAAGGACACATGGTCACATGACTCTGTTTGACTACGTCATAGTCTCCTTTTATATAGGTGCAAAACGTGTAAACCATCCGTTTTTGTATAATTTTTTGACAATTTGTTTTACTTTTATTAAAATCTTATTTAAAAAAAGTAAAAAGTTTAAACATTCTTGTAAACATTAACAAATTATGAAAAAGTTTGATCCACTCCTCTGTTTCCCTAAACTGCGCGTCCAACAAGTCGGTGACGTCATACACGATCTGTTAGTACAGCAAGATCATACTTGGTGAACACAGGGGCGGTATTATTATGTAAAAAACAGGTCATAATCAGTATATGATGTAATATTTTGAGAAACGGGGAACACAAAAATTATTTTTGCATGGCTGATGACGGAAATCTGATGTAGGTATATCTTATTTTGCTTATTTAGCTTACGTGTGACGTCATAGTTGGTTTTTCCCGTACTCGACAAATGTAAACATGACACGTTTTTGTCATGCTTATGTCTTCTTTAACGATGTCCTGTGCAATATTGAGGTCAGCTTCACCATTCGAAATTTTTACAGTTAAACAATAATATGAAGGACTTGCATTTCAACGTAGATTTTAAAATATTGAATGATAGAATTTTTTGCAAATTAAGTTTTTTGTTGTTTAAGTTGTCTGAAAAAGTACGTAATTTTCCTTATCCAGATGCAGTGTAATAGAAGAAACTTGCTTTTAGGAATTTTAAACCCTATTCATACTCTGAAATATTTAAAAAGATACATGTCCACTTACATATTTTTATCTATGCTTAAAAAATCCAAAAATGGACAGAGTAATGGGTTTGGAAACATGGAGATCTAAAACTCCACTTAGATACTGTAGGGTATAGCGTTTACCAATCAATATCTCTGAAATAATGTAAGAAACCTAATGATTTAACTGCTTAAAGATATGTGAGACATACTTAATTAGAAATATACAAAATATGAAAAAAAATTGAATGACAAGTATTTTTTCAGCTCAAGGTCCTTCTTCCCCTTAAGGTTTTGTCAAAGGTCAACATGTCCAAAAATTTATTTTTACAATAGCTCCAAAACAATGTGGTTTATAAAGTTAAAACTTTTACAGTTTATAAATATATCATTGATTAACAGATGGAAAGTATCATTTGATAACAAATGTTAAAAAAAAATATTTATCGAGAAAAGTTCTTTCTAAAAAATGCATATATTTCTAAAAATGCGTCTTCTTAATTCTGTACTTTTAGTGAAAACCATCATTGCAGAAATCTATACTTATAAATTAATAAATTTTGCAAATAAACTCCGAAATGGGTGCACAAGAGTTCTTACTTACTCCTCTAAGAATACATTAGATACAAGATGATGTCCGTAAACTATATTTAGATTTCACTCGCATAGTAAGTATCGTACATTAAATGAAAAGTCTACTTTCATTTTCTATAAACAGCCATGAATTAGCAGAAACGTGAGAAAGGTGGCGTTTCCGGTTGGCGGATCTAAGTTACTGGCAATTTTTAATGAAACTGACGACAAGCAATCGTTTATTTATTTCATAAAACGTCATCACCGAATTATTCAATCAAAACTTGATTTAAATGATATAAAAGAAAAAAGTTGTGATAACCGATTAAAAAGGGAAATGTGCAAATTATTTTCGTTATTCACCGATCTTAATATTGACGGAAGCTTCTAGAACATCATATAGCATCGAGTCCGATGTTATAAAGAAAAACGAGACGATTATAGCTGCATGAAAAATTTGTGTGAATGGTCATTGAAATAATTGTAAACCATTGATAACACTATAAGTTGTGAATATATTTATATATCGAAAGACTATTACATATATGTAGTAGGATTTCCTAATAAATTTATCGGTAAAATTTGTATATTCCTCAATCGTGGCAACGAACCCGAAGTACAATTTGTATTTCGTAATAAACTTGCTTACACGAAAAGAGAAAATTAATGAATAAGGAATTGTTCAAATACAATTAATGCTGTAAAATTGTGTGCTTTAATCAGTACATTTCAATTTTTTTCTGAATACAGTCTTTTGTATCAAATACTCGGCCTATTAATAGGGCGTTAAAAGCTATAGAAAATAATTTTTTACACAGGTACTTGGGTCTTGGTTTATATATATGTTTGTACCTTATTGATATGTAAAAGAAAAAAAAGGTAAAGTACATTTTTTACATATCAATAAGGTACATACATACATGTATTTATAAACCAAGACCCAAGTACCTGTGAATTCCCCCCCCCCCCAAAAAAAAAACCCAATCAATTTATCAGTATAATGTGCATATTCGCTGCTTTTATCCAAGACGGAAATGAAATAAGAGCATCTGAGGTACAATATCCATAACATAGTATAACAGGTTTCAGAAAAACGTCAATAAATGAAATTGTAATTTTTCAAGTTTTTACAAAAGGGAGGTGGGGTGGAGACGTACATGTACATCTGCTTCATGCGGGATTTTGAACAAAGTATTTCTTCCTGCTATAACGCAGCTCTGTTAAGGCTGCATAAAGGGGGCGGGCCTAATTTATACGGGAAAAGTTTACTGTGACATCACACAAATACAGCAATTCCTCACAATAACAGAAAATGAAATAATTTGCGAATCTAAACTGCATAAGAGTAATGAACTACATCAAAACTTACTACTGCACTCATTTTTGTCGCTAGTAAATATATATTATTATAACAGTAACTTGATCCGAAGAGCCGTATCACGTCGAGTTGACAGGCGCGGATCATCAGATCAAACTCGACGCTTCGCGTCTCGTTTGATCTGATGATCCGCGCCTGTCAACTCGACGTGATACGGCTCTTCGGATCAAGTTACTGTTATAATTTATGATAAATTTATTATATACCCCCCTTACTACTAGCAAAATATAGTTTTACAAAAACTTTTGAGATCAATTTTATAAGATTTTTCCATTAAACAAAGCATTTTGTCAAGGAACTTTTTGATGCGCATGAAAAGTAACGTCACGTTTCTGTGTACTACGTCATCAGTTTCAGAGAGGGGTGATATGGATTCAGAAAACCACAGTGTGGTGATCCGGAAAGTCGGATCACACCGTCGCGTGATTGTACGAAATCTACAGTTAATTTGAGTGGTACACACTTGGGTATATAATAATATATGTTTATCAATGAAGGGCAAGTTGGACTTCGATAGCCTCTTTAAAGTTGATTTTCCTGTTTATTTTTTCCAAATGTAAAGATTTGAAACCGAAAGTACATTGCAAATGGCGGATTTTATAGGGGTCTTGTCTTTATACATGTCATGCTTTTAATAACAGCCTTTCAGAGACCATTCACGTCCAACTTGCCCTTCATTGATAAACATTTATTATTTCTGCAATGATGGTTTTCACTAAAAGTACAGAATTAAGCAGGTGCATTTTTTTTTTAAAATATGCTATTTTTTTTGCATTTTTTTTCTCAAGAAAATATTTTTTTTTAATATTTGTTTTCAAGTTGTACGTTCTATCTGTTAATCAATGATATATTTATAAACTGTAAAAGTTTTAACTTTATACCTCACATAGTTTTGGAGCTATTGTAAAAATAATTTTTTGGACGTCTTGACCTTTGGCAAAACCTTAACAAAATAGAATGGAAAATTTCCCAATTTTCTTGATTACTTCAGCACTTTGTTCAATTTTAGATGCATCAATCAGAAGATTACACTGAAGTTTGGAAGTCCTTCCTAATATATTTTAGTTTTACATTAGGTATACTTAAAACTACATCTCTGCAAAATTTTAAAAAGCAATTGGAAGAAACATATAACGGTGGGAGTGGCTGGTTGACAATAAGTGTTTACTCCTTCATTGCACCTGCTTTTTTTTTTTATACATTTGAGGCTTGATTTGTAACGTTTACTTAGCAGTTTTGATGCTTACTCTCGTAAGTTTGATAACCTTAAAAATTACAAGCATTCACTGGTAAGCTTTCAACAGGACTTCTTTTTATGATTAGTTTCTTGCCCGAAGAGTTCTGTTATTAAAAAGTTTTCTATCAAGAATCAAATTGTTATAAAATTCTGTTTAAAAGAATAGGTAGATGTACTTCACGATCTGTCAAATGTACTATACATCACTTTCCTACATCACACTTCTTAGCCTTGACCCTTTGAATAGTGTCTCTATGCTTT